CTGTTTGCAGGCTGTTTGAGCAGCCGTGAATCAGTGGAGCAGGATACAAAGAGCTCTGTGAGGCACCAGGAAAATGCAGTTAAGAAAAATCTGAGCTGTGCTAATTTTAGTTTGGAAGACGGCTGTTAGAAAACAGTTCAACCCAACAGGACCTGAGAGTTAGCCAACTCCTTCTGCCCTCTCCCACGGGAAAGAGGGCTATAAAATGAAATGGACTCATAAAAAGTCGTTAGTCAACCTGTTCCCTGCTTGTGACACGGCATGGCAAGGGTCCTAGAGGCAGAGATGAGGGAGGAGGAGAAGGTAAGCAGCAAGGAATTCAGAGAAGGGGATGACTGTGCACAGCAGAGGACTAAACCACCATGGAGAAGCTCAGACCGTTCCGAGCTATTGTTTAAATTCACCCCGGGAAGTTTAAAATTTTGCTGTGCCGAGTGGCAATTCCCATGTTCCTGAAGAAAATCTGGTGCTATTGTTTCCGATTTTCCCTCTCCAAGCAGATCCCAGTGGGATGTCTGTCAGAATAAGAGTGTCTCCCAGGGCTGGGGCTGTGCGTGGGGGTAACTCTGCCCTACATGGAATGGCAAGTCTTAGCCCTGAGCTCAGAGACAGGGTGAGCTGTGTGGGCTGCTGGTGAAGGCTGTGCCCGGCTGGGTCCAGGAGGAGCATCAGGATCCTTTGCTGACTTTTACCTCTCCTTGTGCAAGAGTGATGTTTCCTTAACATGCAGTTGTTGTGCCATGGGAAACGTGGGGTTAGCTGCTCTACCATCCTTCCTCAGCTCTTTGCACTAAAAGGCGTTTGTTTCAGGAACCGTGTTCTGTGGATGTGTGACTGGTATTGGACTGTTATTAAGCCAGACATAATTCAGGGGTATCTTTTTTCTGGATGAACTTCACATTGTGATGTGAAGAAGATGCCTGTTGTCCTAGGCATGCTCCCTCCTTACAAAGACAGCAGCAATTAGTAGACGTCCAAAATGTAGAGAAGATTTTGTTTACTGAAAGGCCATAGGGTGATAAAGGAAGAGAAGTTGAGGGGAATGGAGAAGATGGATCTTCTGGTGCTTATCTTTCAGCCCACACAGCCACATTACCACATCAGTGCCCTGAATCTGCAAACCATTAGTCAGGACCAGACTCTGCTGCCTTTGCTGGGGCCTAAAGCCAATATTGATATGTGGAAGTTTTGAACTCAGGCATATAACACAGCATGTTTTAAGTAAAATATTGTGGAACAGGCTGTCCAAATTGGCTTTTGATCTTGTATGTAACTTCACCACTTTTAGAGAAATAACATTCCACTCCTTGTCTGCCTTCTAATGTGGCCTGCTTACCCAGTAGAAACACCCACAAATTCCCCAGAGAAGAACTGTGTTCCTCCCAGACTCTTTTGTCTCATCTTTTATGTCTGTTGTACTGTAAAGTCAGCCACCCCTTGATTACTGAAATTTCTTTATCAGCTCTGACTGTGGAGCTGATCACAAGTGTCCCTGCCACCTTCTGCTCTGCTGGTGGTGTCAGCAAACATTTGATTCACTACAGAGATTTGAGCACTAAGGGGATTCAAGGTGGGGCATGAAGTAAATCACATCTCAGGCCCTTCATGCCTCTCTTGCTTCAGCCACCAATGCAGGCAGGCTGCTGGCAGGACGGCAGTTCGAGGTCTTTGCTCATGCAATGTGCACTGTAATTACTGCAAGGGTAATTGGAAAAAAAAATCTGCCCACTGCGGACAAAGCAGCTTGTCACCTGCAACACGAGTGGCAAGCCCTTGTAAGGTTTGAGGACGAGAACATCTCACAAGATACACTGTAAAGACAAGGTGCAAACAAAGCTATTAGTTCAAATAAAACCCTGGAGATTGATCTCTGTATGACAGTGAGGTGCATGGGAGTCATCTCGTGCTGTAACAGAGGGCTGAGGGCTTCTTTCTCCTTGCTCCCACAAAAAGAAGAGGCTCTTTCTTAGGAATCTGTGCTTATCTTCAGCTGTTTTTATCCTTAGCAGCCCCCCAGGAATAAGGTCAACCATTTCAGGGTAGTGTTTTCTGTTTGCATTCTTTTAATTTAAATAAGTGATTTTTTGTTGTGGGCAAAAGAACTGTGCTGGCTTGGGGATTAATTTAGGTGGATTTTCGTATATTTTTAAAGTGCATAAATTGTTATTTGGGGTCCTCCCTTCTTTTCTAAATACAAATATATGTGCTTTTCTTTAAAAATGTATTTTGTGTGTAAGTCACATAGAGATAACATTAAATGCAGTATAAAGACAGCAATGAAACTGGTTGTAACATTTATATATTTTTCATGGCCCAAGTGCTTTGTGTTTGGAGATACTGTAGATGCATGCCTGCTGCTGGAGGAAGCGACACACTTGCACTGCAAAAGATGACAGTCGCGTGACCCCAGGATCCAGTCCCCTAGGACACAGGAGGTAGGCAGCTCTCTAGGACAAGAGGAGGCCCGAGGTGTCTGTCCCGGTGTGCTGCAGCCAGGGGAAGGTTGGGTGGCTGTTGCTGAGGAAGAAGCTGTGGTGGACAGGGTGGAAAACACTGCTGGGATGGGGAGGAGACCCCAAAGAGAAGCATACGTTGATGCAGCAGAGGACTAAGTCCCAGGTCTCCTGGTGTGCCTCAGCTCTGCTGCTTCCTCCTCTCCTTTCAGCAGCAGAGGCCTCACAACACAGAGGTCATGGTGTTCAGCATCACCCAACCTGTTCAGAAACCTAGGGTTATCTGCGTGTGCAGTGTACTCTGGGAGGAGGAGCAGGTAAAACAGAAGGAAATTAGAAGAATGGGGAAAATGCCATTATTGACATTTTCCCCGGGCTTTTCCAGTGCTTTTTGGTGTGTGTTTCTGATCTGTTGCAACAGAATGAAGCAAATTCCAGACGTTCTGACTGCCCTCTAGCTGTATCTTCTAAAACAGCCACATCTTGCACAACTCCCTGTCCTTCTATGGGGAACTTTTTTCCATGGAGAGTATGGCTGATCTCCCCACCCTGCAGCCGGGAGCCCTGTGCCTTCCCTGGCGACTGGTGGGCTCGGGGACCATGTGCCAGAGCCAGATGACCCTGTCACCTCCACCTATTCATGGTGGATCCCTGTGTGACCATGGAAGGCAAGAAAGAGACGCCGCACTTAGTGCAGCTAATCTTGGCTGCAGCACCCTAACGAACATCAGACACCAGCTGTGTGGAAACCACTAGAGCATGTGAACATCACCACACAGCCACCCATGGAAAGGTCTCTCAATTGCTCTCCATTAGAGGGCATTCAACATTTGCACAGGCACAAATTTGCAAAATTATTTTAAAAAAAATAAATCTCCGCTGACTGTTACAGAATCTGCACAATGAATATTAAACAAAGGACTGATGTTCCCTAAGTCTCTGCCCATCACTGCACTTCAGACACCATTGTGTGGTGTGACTTTTTAAAACTTTTTTTTTAAAGGTTATGCTGTCTATGCTGCATAATATGTAATAGAAGTTCACTGTAAATTAGAAACATAGTTTACAGCCTGCTGCTGTGCTTCATGGCGGTGAACAAGATTTGAACTCGAAGGTCTCCTCCTTGTGGGGAAGCTGTTGTAGGAAATATTTAATATCACCATAATCGGAGGCTTTATGGACTAGCAATGAGCTATGGGGGCCTCTCTAGGACACCTTGCTGCAGCTCCTGCCTGCTCTATAGCTTCTCTAGAACATTTTCCCATTCTTGATGCTGTTACGATTTGATTTTACACTACTGTTATAGGAAGTTTTGGGTAAACTGTAACATTACCTAACCCACAGCTGTTTCCTTTAGCTACGGAGGATACACTCAGCCCTGACAGGTTTCTCTCCCAGCAGATAAGTGAAGCTGGCTGTCTGTAATGCTGAAATGGTTGCTGGCCTGTTCTGTCCCTATACAGACCAACTCTCTGGAATAAGCAAGTATCCTACTGCTTTATAATAGAGCATCTTTCAAAAATGCTGTCCTTTTTCTTTCCAGGTAAACCACAGCATAGAAACTGGACTTTGAGGGACATGCAGCCTGATTCCAAAATACCTGCACGACGTCTCTTCAGGGAGCCAGTATCAAAGGTAAGCAAATGAGTTAAAGCTGCAGATCTTTGATGTTTTTTAAAAAAAACTTCAGGTCACACCTTGCCTCAGAAGGCAGTATACACAAAAAGAAGAGCAGCCACAGGGCACAGAACCAGACTACTTAAAACCACTGAAAGGAACTTTGGTCTCACTTTGCTGCGGAACGGATAATATGATTGAAAAGATACGGGCAGACTGCTGGGAAATTACAATGCCACTGTGATATGGAGATGCCGAGAAAGGAATTGAGCAAATAAACAGGGTTTCAGAGAGGTGTTCAGAGGTGCAGGAACAGTAACACAAGGAGGAAACTGAAAATCGGATTTCTCTCTGGAGTATATTCCTGACCCTAAACTGTGACACCCCCATATTCAGTGTACTGCGTCTCAAAATACTCGTTCTTTATTACTGAGTTAGCAAAAGAGGATGTTAATGTTGTAGGACTGTTTTTTTTTTTTTTTTATTATAAAGCCTTTTTTTGTGCATGTTCAAATACACTGTCCACATGGTCTGTAATGTATTAAAAATACCTCGGAAAAAGCAGAATTTCACATGGAGGCACAAATTAGAGGATTAAAACAAGTCTGTTCCTTTCATTTCTGAGCTAGAAGGGATGGATAACTAATTGTTTTCAAGTGTCAATCAGTCAAAAGAAATGGTCAAAATTTTAGAAGGATAAAATATTTTACAGGTGAAAACTCTGATACTTCTATAACTAAGTTCCTGGTCAACACCTCTTCAGGTGTATTTAACATGGCAGATTACTGAGAACGCCCCTAAATATTTGGTGCAGGTTAATTTTATACAAACATTCTGTTTTCCACTGAATGTTGTTAAAATACAGGACAAAACCTTTAAAGGCTAGCAATCAAGAAGAGGCCATGCAACTATGGACTACCGAGGTGGGCATAAGCACCGCACAAGCAGAAGGAAAGAACAGACACAAAGCTCTATTTTCTGCTGTGCAGGAACACCATCTACACAGTCCACCCAATGATCTCGTACATCAGTGCTCTCAGAAGCCTGGCCTCATAGGTAACAGTATTCTTCCCACTGTGCATCCTCCTCTCCTCAAGGGGTTGCTCGATGACAGCTGGGATGTTCCTTCCATACAGCTCACACTGCTTCAGAAACTGAATGCACTCTTGACTAACGCTGTCACGTAGCATGATCATGTGCTTGGACATGTTCTCAAGCAAGGAGAGGAAACACCGTTTGGCGTAATACCAGGTGTCAGTGCTCAGTTTTTTGTTATATGGCTCCAGGCTTTTAATGATCCTGGAAATACCAAAGTCATAGTTTCCCTTCACGCAGTAGAGGGTACCGATGACTAGATTGACAATGCAAAGATGGTAGATATTTTTATCGGGATTATTACAGGACAGCTGCTCTTCCCCCTTCTCAATCTTCCTCATCAGCTCCTCCGCATCTTCATTCTGGCTTGTCAGGATGTAGGAAACGCAGAGATTTGCCAGCACAATGGCACTCACGTGGAGAATGTCATCGTAGTGTTTTTTAACTATGGGCTCATAGAAGCCAATTGCCTCTTTGTACTTCTTCTCTTGCATGAAGAGCACGTGAGCCACATTGAGCTTCCACACCTCGTGTTCGTTACAGAAGTCTACCGATTTGCGGAAGATGTTTTCTACCATTGTGTAGTTCTTCATGTCCCAGTAGATCTTTGACTGGGCCATCAAGACAGGTACATATTTATCCAAAGTCTCATCATACTCATTAACTGCCTTTTTCACAGCTTCATCATCCCAGTTTTGCCTAGCTTCTTGTACCTGCTTTGTGAGTTTTCTCAGCTGCTCAGTCAGCGCCCCTGCCAAATCATCTAACTTGTGGAAGGCCTCCTCAGGGGCAGTTTGACAAGTAATAATGGCGTCCAGGAAGTTGTACAAGTAAGGCGTGAGCAGTTTGTAGGTCAGGTGGGCATTCTCTGCCAGCACATCAGCTGCCAGGTCATAGTACTGATGCTTGCAATAGAGGAGCAGCAAGTTCCCAAACGTTTCTGGCGGACAGGGGTTCTGCAGCAGAAGAAACTGCAGTTTCTCAAAGCCCTCAGTGGGCTGGATGTCCATGTTCATGAGCGCGTGGTTGTGCAGCGTGACCGGATCCAGCTCCTCCTCGGCCCTCGGCGGCATATCCGTGAGCGCCTCCTGCGCCGCTTTCAGGTTGCGCAGCTGGTACTCGATGGCTGCCTTGAGGTTGAAGGCCTCCACCAGGGCGGTGCGGTGCAGCAGCAGAGTGTTGCCCACGCTGCGGACGTCGGTGCCCTCGGCGCTGGTGCCCACACTGAGCTCCGGGTGTTGGTGGATGCCGTGCTCGATTATGTCGGAGATGTGTTTGAGGGCGGGGGCGTACCGCTTGGCTGCGTAGTAGCAGAGCGCCATGTTGTAGGACAGCTCGGGGCAGTAGCCCAACACTTGCACGGCCCCGGCAAACCTGGTGCCGGCCTCCTCGTGCTGCCCCTG